ATGATTGATAGCTATCAGATATCATGCTACTGGGATGGTAGCTAACTTGATACAATCTCTGTATCTGTCTGCCTATGCAGTCATTGCACTATTGCTTCTGCCATCCTGTAAAATGTCAAGGCTCTTAGGTTTTTCCAGGATGCATGTATGAGCAAGCTCTTCTTCCTTTTTCTTTCAGCAAAAAAAGGAAAGAAAAACAATTTATTGGGAGACTTATGCTTAGCTCCCTATATCCCCTATGGACACCTGTCAATTATCGGTTGGAAAGAGCCTCTGGGGCTGCTTGGGGAATCATATTTATTTAGCTTTTTGACAGCTATTGCCACAGAACGCCATTCCTCTTTATAGCTGCAGTTTCAGCATATAGCCTTCCAGGGAACATAAGAGAGAGATAGTACCTATCCTGAACACACTGAAGCACAAGAGTGGCACAAGATAACGTCAAAAGGGTTTTAAATCTCTGCTAGTAAGTAGTAAATTATTCCCTTGGCTTCCTGTGCAGGAATTCTTACAGCTACCTCTGCGGGCTGAGAAGTGATCTGTCAAGTGAGGTAGATGCTGTGCAGATAAAGATCAGGAAGGTGCACATCTGGTTTCAGGAATGCAGCCGTTCGCCTCTGCTTTATAACTGTTTATACAAAATGTAACAGCAAATAACCAAATAAATCTGTATGCTGAAGTGCCTAGGAGAATAGATTATCACAAATATTGATTTAAGGAGTAAGTGTGAATCTTGTGCCATTTTTAATTTTGAGCTATGAAAAGCAGTTTATAGCCTTTTATGGGAAAATATGTACATCTGCTTATTCCTGCAAGATTCAAGGATCTGAAATATTGCTCCTTCTTGCCATTTTACCACGCTATTGTTCTTTTCTCCATGACTCGGAGTTGAACTGACTGTGCTTTGTGAAGTTACAAATTAGCATATAAAATGCCATGAGAGCTTCAGTGTATGCTGACACCTTGTTAGAGAAGATATGCCATACACATAAAGATAAACAAATGATCACAAATTCCATTGTTTTACACAATGTTTCGCTTATGAACAGTTGTCAGCACAACAAACAAAAGTGGTCAATTTAATCTGAATTTCCCAGCAGGATGGGTCTTTTTTTAATGAAAATGCTCATCCATGGATTAAAACAATAAATATTTGCACTCAGTTTCTGGATGATACTATATTTTCATGAAATCATTTCTTACTGTAAACGATTGTATTGTTACGTGTATGGCAAACAATACTTATTGTTAGCGTAACAAATAAACCTTGTTCTTTCCAGTACTGCGGAAAACCTCTTTGTGTGTTAGCAAGGGCTAATTCTGGAAAACCAGAATTAGACCTACTGATTACTCTATTTTCAATAGTCTTCCAGGACAGTACATGAGCAATAGGCACCTTCACCACCAGGAACAGAAAATGCATCACTACAAACTTTAAAAAGGAAGTCCTTCTACATAACTGCTCAGTATTAAACAAGACCCAAAAGACATGATTTCAAATAAAATGCATACCGCAAAAGAACATAACGAATGGACAGGGCTGTCCTGGAAGGACATTTTCTCTGTCTTCCAGGACAGCACATGCGGGGATAAGCAAGAACATCCAAAAAATAGGGAAGGACACAGCTTGGAAAATTCTTATCATGGCTGAGCATGAGTATTGCAGATTTGGAGGTCCCAGGTATACAAACCTATCATGCGAGCTGGATAACATAAAGACAATGGACCTAACCACAGAAAAATGTGCATGCCATATGGGAAATGTTTTGCCACCTAACAGCCTATACAGCCTAACATGTTACACATGTCTGTCTGTATATAGAAGTATATATTTCAATAGCAAAATGACCATAGCAATCCTTTGGATACATACAAACCCTGAGACTTTGTAATATAATGTAAAATAGTAATTCCAGATATGTATTAAGCCATAATTCTGGCTCTGCTATAACATTCAACCACAAGCAAATTGTGTACATAATGAATTAGTATGTAGCCTTATTATTATACAGGATTGATATAGCGCCAACAGTTTGCGCAGCGCTTTACAATATAAGGAAGACATTACAATCACAATACAATTCAAGACAAGATGGTTAGGAGGGCCCTGCCCGAGGGCTTACAATCTAAAAGGGAGGGGGAAGCGATACATGAGGAGGTAGTTGTGTGGGGATGAATTGTTTGAGAATGTGATGGTTCAGTGGTTAGGTTGAGGTGGAATAGGCTTCCCTGAAGAGATGAGTCTTAAAGTGACATTAAACCCTCAGATTTTTTAACATAAACCAATACTGTAATGTGTGCCTTACTGTAATCCATGGTAGTTACCCTTTCTCCATAGTGAAGGGGGTAATTGGCTATTAATGACAAAAAGATCTGTCAAAATGTTGTAAAATAATTTTATGAACATGTTTACTGTTTACAAACATCTATTACTTCACCTCTACATTGCTTGGCTGTTGCAAGCAGTACTCAAATCTGTTGCAGTGTTTGATTTTATCAGGCTGTGCATTTGCCAGACAAACTGGTCTAAGACTTGTACTACAAGAGCGGAGCATAGTCTGCAACTTAATATGGGATATGGAGTATTCCATTTCATTTGTTTTTTTCTATTACAGTGTTGAGTTCCCAGAAAAAATTAGGAATGCTCTGGATACTTTATGTCAGCTCCCCCAATACGAGGAGATAGCTGATCCAGGCCTGGCTCCCTGCAGATGCTCTGTGTACTGTACTATTCAGCTCTCACTTTCCTCTCCACGCCTAGAATATGAAACTGCTTAACCCAAATTCATCTCTTCCCAGAGCACAAAGTGATTGATGTTATTTTGGAATGCACATCACAGGACTTGTACACTGGAGACATGGAACTTCATAAAAATGTCTTTATCACTCAAGTAGTTTTTTATTTAAATGGCCCTTGGTACTAGCTTTGTTAGTAACGTTAACAAACACAAGGTCTTAACAAATCAACACTGAATCAGTTTTTTTTCGACCCGTGTACAAAGTTATTTCAAAAGTAAAAGCTGCACTCCAAACAAATGGCTAAAGACACAGTTAAAATACATATATGTTAAAGCCTGTGCCTGCCAAGTTATTTGTAATCCTGGTATGATTTAAACACCTGGTCACACTGCATAGTCAAAAGGGTGACGCCATTATTTTCTAATGCAACTTTTCAGCTATATACCTGGAGTTCTGATTTTAACTTCTTTGCAGTGTAATGAGAAAGGTACACTAGTGAAATCTATGTATTTTTAAGAACCTGAAGAAGAATATTATATTTCCATACTGCTACTGCAACACCCATGGACAATGACAATGAAAAGATAATAGACAAGCATACTTAGCACACTGTCCATACAGGCTAACCATACAGTACCCAAGGTAAGGCATTCAAGTGTACAAACAATAAATGATGAGGAAAGGAAAGGAAACATAAATCAAGTTTTAGTTGGCCAAACAAAAAACAGGCCCTGGGCAGAAACAAAGTGAGCCTACTATATTGGAATAGAGTACTAGCAGTACAGCACCAGGGAGTACCTGTTGAGGCCTGTTGAGATGTACATGCATATCTGACCATGATCAGAAATCGAAGAGTCAGAGACATTAGAAGGCCTTCAGATGAGCATGCACAGCATGACACACAGTCCAATTTATTAGCTGCACTCTGTTGGGCTGACAGGTTTGGTTCAATAGTGAAGGAGGAGCAGAAGGCAATACAAGAGATGCTACAAGAGTCAGCTATCAGATGAAGACATATGTTCACACCAGCCCAATTGACTTGTCTGCCTAAAAGTGGATGGCAAAAAAGGTCAGAGATAATCGACAGACTTGAGATCGTCAACTGAACTTGGCTGTATAAAGTGACTGTAATCCATGTCTATGGGTACCCTTATCTATGATCTATAACAGTGGCTGTAAAAGCATTTAAGTAAACTGCTATGATTACAGTAACATCACTCATAGTGTGAGGAATAGCCCAAACAAGGGCTACAAAAATGGCTTATGTTGGGGACTGCTATGCGTAGGATGTTTAGGGAAAGCAGAAACAAAGTATATAGAATAGAAGGTTAGGTAAGATAAAGGCATCATTACAGGTAACAAAAAAGGAAGCAAAACTAATTGAGTTTACAGCTTGCAATGTTCGAAACTGGTTAAGGAAATATTAGTACAGTAGAAAATACCTACAGATTGCAACTGGAAACAAAGTTTGCCTGCGCTATTTTTCACCTGATACTATTCATCTACAGCTCATCTGATATATCGGCATTCCCAAAATATGCTATTCAGTTCTGTACTATATCAAGAATCCACAGGGGAACTCACTAAAATGTTCAGACCGTGTGTCATGCCATTACTTTTTACTATTTTCTGCCGCAGTAATTACATTCAAACTTCCAAAGCAGGTTTGAATCTGACTGGTAGCTTTGAGAATGCCAATACTGACAATTTTTACATCATCAGGCATTTTGCATGCAAGATGTGCCTACAATCGTGTGTTTGGGGATTCCCAGAGTGTCACTTGAGTAACTGAGTCTGCTAACATCACATCCAGCATGGCAGAATCCAGCAGGAATTTTAGGGCTTTTGGTTGCCTAAATCAGGAAGATTTTTTACAGAAAAATAACATTCATAAGATACTTTCAAAGCACATATAACCTTATGGGAAGATATTTGTTCAATGGTCTGGTGTCAGGGTCTCTATATGTTCTGAGCAAGTAAGCTGTGCTTCGTTTATGTGTCTCAAAATATAATTTTGACTGCAATGTACCCTTAAGAAAAAAAAAAGATATTGCATAGGAAATAAACGGTACACAGCAATCATAACAAACACAAGTCAAGTTGATACCTGATCTTTCATCAAAATCAGCAATTGAACTTTATATATGTAGCCAATAACAATTTAGAATTGATTTGTTTTTTTAATTATCCAAGCAGAACATTTCACAAACACCAACAATGAGATCACTATTACATATACATTTATTTTTCTCCCAACTTACCTCTCCGGCCACAAAAAACACTAGTGGTGCTTCCTCATCTTTGGCTTTATATTGTGCTATAATTTTCTCGGCTATGGGTCGAACAAGTTCTTTAGCTGCTTCAGACTCCCCTTCATCCTCAGAGTCTAAAATAATGACAAATCAGCAAAAAGATTTGTGTGAGTAGTCTTTTTATAAAGCAAAACTCCAGGAGGATATACACAAATGAATGTAACTATGTATATAAATGTATTTTTAAATACAGCTACTACAAATGTTTACTTGTGGATTGAATTTACTCAGTAATAAATAATAATAAATCAATGATAATAAAAAGGTCATTACAGTGCAATGTGTAACTACTTGTTCTTTCTATTCAGACACTTAGTGCAAAACCTAAATCTAGAAAGTGCAAGAAACCTAGCAATAATCAGAAAGTCCTATTCACAAATATGCAAGCACATTGAAGCATGCATATTATTTCATATGCATAGGTGTGAACGGGCCCTTATACTTTCTCTTCAAAATACACTATGAAGGAGGAATTATTAAGTTGCAATGTGCAGTGGTAGTGACTGTAATTTGTTTATGCCCTGGGGTGCATGCATCGTAAAAAAAATACCCTTGTGAACAAGAACAAAAAAAATTTACTGCAATCTATGGGAGACCAAATGTGCTACCTACTACTAATAAGAGCAGGCCCATCAAAGCAAAAGAACTGCACATGCCACTTCTAATCTATGAAGGTTATGACTGTAAAAACAGCACAGCCACAGAACAAACCTTTGTAAGGTAAAACTGGACTAATGTGAAAACGGAAACTTTAGTATAACATACAAGAGTACTTTCTAGTGCTGCATCTCACAATCAGCAGGGAAACAGGAAACAAGGGAAACATTTCCCTTCCCAGGCTAAACACCCGCTGCTTCCCATGAATTAATAACCTGCCCATAACAAAGGAAGCACATTATAACACCCCCTGTCCTGTTACTTTAGAAACTAGTGTCATTACGGATAACAAACTGCAGTGGAGGAAGCTGCCTTTACAAAGTGCTCTGCTGGGACGCTGGCAGCGTGATATGTTTACTATGGTTTAACCTCCAAAATCAGATTAATGTCATACCAAATCTTTGTCACTAAGCTTTGTTCAGGGACAGTTTCAGCGTTTGGGGATGCCTGTAGCATACCAAAAGCAATTTTACAATATAGCTGTCTATGTGTCATTAACATGCTCTGTAACGAGACCTACTGGGTTGTATTCACTTCCAATCTAAAATCTACATGCATTGGTGATGCACTGCTTGTCAGTTCACATAAATGCGCATAGAAATGGGATATCAATTGGAATGGAAGGCCACGGTTGCCTCAGTTCAGTTCCTACTTCTACCCAAGTAAAAGCAGATCAGGAGGTCTGCTGACAAAGGCCCCAGTCAAAAGATGCGATTTGCTTAACACCATTACAGTCCTCAACATTATTATGTATCAGTGAGTCCCCAGTCACACCTACGCATTTTGTCGCTCAAAGGTAAGTGTGACAAAACACTCAAGACAAGAAATCCCATTCATTTCTTTGGCCCTGTTCACACCTTAGCGTTTTGTCGCAAGCAGAAAAATGCTTGTTGCTGGACTAAATACATGAGCTACTTTGAAGCAGATTACAGAGTTTCTTGGTCCCATAGACATCAATGGGAAACTTTGTGCAACAGAACGCTCAGATGTGAACAGTGGCCATAGAAATGAATGGGAATCCTTGTCTTGAGAGGAGCTTAGCTTTGAGTGACAAAATGCCAAGGTGTGAACAGAGCCTTCTACCTAGACCTGCCCTTAAGTCCCATCAGCAAATCATGTTTTGTCTTTATTTGCGCAGGCAGCTAAATCACACAACCGAAACACAGATGATTCAATTTGTAATCATGTGAGGTTACCTGTAAAACATGCACTGCTGGTGGCACAAAGTTTAGGGAAGTCAGGCATGTAGCATCTTTGTTAATGGGCTGAAAATCTCGGCTTATACTCGAGTATATACGGTAAATGTAATAGTAAAATGTATAAGTGTGAGCAGGTTAAACTCAGGAGTTAAATCTTTAAAAATGCATTCAAGTATCTAATAACAAAAATGTATCTTATTTGTGTATCACTCGGCTGTAAATCCTCAAATCCATTAAGATTTAACTCCTCTAGTTTGTGTCCTCCCGTTACCCTAAGGAGAACTATGGGGGAAAACGCTGACCCCATAGTGCTCCTTTAAGTCACCAACAGTTTTTTTTTATATCTCCTGAGGAATCTGACAACAGGATCATCCCACAAGGGTTTCTAGTTCTGCCCTCACAGCTATTGCAAAGGAGAATGATGGGGTCCAACCTCGTATGTTTTTCTGTAAAATTCAAAACACACTGATAATCTAGGTAGTGGAGTTTATAAGAACTTTCTGAGGTCTGCTGGTCTAAAATAATTTAAAAAAATTACCCAATGGTTTACTTATGCTTATCAAGCCAATAGAAATTCTTCTAAACCATCAGTGACACATCTTTAGAAGAGATGGACACAGCCAAACTACACCATGTATTTCCAGTGTTTTCATCCGTTTAGAAGAAAAATGGATGCAGCCAAAATAAAAATCGGACTGCATCTTGCATGTACTTGAAAAGAATAAATGTTTAATTTCCAATGCTGCCCATGAATGGTTATGCTGACATACAGCTAGTTGCTAATTTAGAAAACAATGCAAATGCTATGAAAATGTTTCAGTAGGTTAGATAAATACTGACAACTTGTTTTGTATGTACACGAGATAAGATGTGAATTGTCAGTTGTGTTAAAATATACAGTATATATGCACAGGAATTTATCAAAACTGGAGCAGAAAAAAATCTGGAGCAGCTGCCCATCACAACCAATCAGCTTATCTCTTTATTTTTTTAAAGTTGAAACAAACTGTTTCAACTCTCAAAAGAGAGAAGCTGATTGGTTACTAAGGGCAACTGCTCCTAATTCTGTCTGCTCCAATTTTCACAAATCCCCCCCATAGTATTTTAACCTACTAACTTGTTGGGCATACTCAAGAAAATATGTACCGTAAAAAGGGGTATGGGTGGGGGGCTACCCAAACACGATCCGACAGAAGCCGTATTTACCAGCTAGACTCCTCCTACAAATTCAGGCTGGCCAGCCTTCTAATCATTTTTTAAGGCATCCTAACGAAAATGCTGTAAAGTAGGAATGCTTCCAGAAATAAAAGTGTTAAGAGTTTATTTTTATCAATTAAAGTAAATGAACAGAGGAGAAATCCTAATCAAACCAATATTTGGTGTGACCACCCCTTGCCTTCAAAACAGCATAAATTCTTCTAGGTACCCTTACACACAGTTTTTGAAGAACTTGGCAGGTAGGTTGTTCCAAACATCTTGGATAACTAACCACAGATTTTCTGTAGATGTAGGCTGCCTCAGATCCTTCTGTCTCTTCATGTAATTCCAGACAGACTCCATAATGTTGAGATCAGGGCTCCATCACTTTCAGGACTCCATCACTTCCAGGACTCCATGTTCTTCTTTATGCTGAAGGTAGTTCTTATGACATTGGCTATATGTTTGGGGTCGTTGCCCTGCTGCAGAATAAATTTGGGGCCAATCACAAGCCTCCCTAATGGTATGGCATGATGGATAAAGAATCTGCTTGTATTTCTCAGCACTGAGGACACCATTGATCCTGACCAAATCTCCAACTCCGTTTGTAGAAATGCAGCCCCAGACTTGCAAGGAAACTCCACCATGCTTCACTGTTGCTGCAGACACTCGTTATTGTACCGTTCTCCAGCCCTTCAGCAAACAAACTGCCTCCTGTTACAGCCAAATATTTCAAATTTTGACTCATCAGTCCACAGCACCTGCTGCAATTTTTCTGCACCCCAGTTCCTATGTTTTTGTGCATAGTTGAGTTGCTTAGCCTTGTTTCCATGTCGGAGGTATGACTTTTTGGCCGCAATTCCATGAAGACCACTTCTGGCCAGACATCTCTGGACAGTAGATGGGTGTACCTGGGTCCCACTGGTTTCCCCTAGTTCGGTGCTGCTGGCACTGCTGTACATCTTCCAATGTCGAAGGGAAGTAAGCATGATGTGTCTTTCATCTGCTGCATTTAGTTTCCTTGGCCGACCACTGCATCTACGGTCCTCAACGTTGCATGTTTCTTTGTGCTACTTCAAAAGAGCACATCTTAAAACCCCAGTCTGCTTTAAAATCTTTGCCTGGGAGAAACCTTGCTGATGCAGTATAACTACTTTGTGTCTTTTTGCTGTGCAGTCTTGCCATGGTGTAAGACCTCTGACATGAAACTGTCTTCCACAACCTCACCTTAGTAGCAGAGTTTGGCTATTCCTCACCCAATTTTAAGCCTTCTACAGAGCTGTTTCAGTTAATGACTGTGTTTCAATCTACCTGGTGGAAGTGTGCAACTGTAAAGGTGCCCATACACCTTACGATTATCGGACGAAACTTTTCGTCCGATGATCGAACCGTCGTACGATTTTCGCACGACGGCCCCATCCTGCCCTGATTATCGCAAGGTTCTATTAGCGGTAGTTAAAAAAAAACACCTGGACAACTTGCGGTAATTGACCGCAATTATTTTTGTTTGCGCATGCGCAGTGTTAATCGTACGACTTTTGACAGACGGAAACGCCACCAACCATGCGGACATTGTACAATTGACCAAAGTTTTCAAACATGCTTGACCGTCAAAAGTCGTACGATTGTACAGTACTAATTGGTCGGGCACTCTATTCACACGTTACGATTGTCGTACGAAAAGTCGATCGCATACGATTATCGTACGATAATCGTAAGGTTTATGGGCACCTTTAGAATTGATGTTGGTTTGAAGCCAAAGAGTAGTCACGCCAAATATTGATTTGATTTAGATTTTTCTGTCCACTATTTCAGGATCATATAAACTTGACTTAATAAAGATTTAAAAAAATAATACTATAGTATTATACTGTATATACTCAATTTATAATATGGACCAGAGATTTTGTTAACATGTATTCTTTAATAATATATAATAATATTGTTATACCGCCACTTTTTCATACCTACAAAGAGGACAAGGCACGGCCCCTCATTCAGCTGCACAGCATTTAACTCTGTTAGCTCCACAACAGGTTTGGGGAGCCATGGAAACTCTTTACACTCAACATCGTGAAGAACCTCTACTCTCCCCTGTCGTGTAATGACTTCTCCTTTGGGGTCCAATATAATGAGATTGGGAATACCTGTAGGGGGGAGGAGACATTATTACAGATAATTTAGACCAAGGTACTGCCAAAACATTCGGAAAGGATGAATTATGAATACATCAAAATAGTTCATGCTGTTTAAATTACATTTAACATAATTACGTGAAGTGATTTAATTACACCCTGTAGTTTCATATACCTTTTTTTCCATATCAGCACAGTGAATGGTGTTTCTTTTCCAAAGATTTTATTTAAATTTTTAAACACGGACAATATGAGGAACAGTGAATAAAAAATTAACTTATACCATCCATAGTACATCCATGGAAATGGTGTTGAATAAATAATGCAAAAATAAATTGTCTACTTAATGAGACAGGTAGGGTTAATACCAAGTCTATACACCATGAATTCTGAGCAAATGCTTTCACCTACTCTAGAAACTCAACAAAATAGGTTGAGTTACAAGGTCATTAATATTATCTGCCCAAGGATGTAACAAGCGATCACAAAGAAAGAAAACAAGCAAGCAAGCATAGAAAGGAAAAGAAAGAAGCATGTATAAAAAGAGAGAAATACGGAGGGGTGGAAAGGGGGACCACTTATTAGGGCTACTGTGCTGGGTTTGGCACAGAGCACCTTAAATCTGTGCAGGGCACAATTAAATCTCAAGACTCTTAAGGAATGCTGGAGCGAAAATTACTGACAAGTGCCAGAAAGCTCTGTCTCAGTCACAGGTCACGGATCCTTTAAAAGGATAAGCACTCAAAACATAACTAAAAGCACCCACAAATGGAAAAAAAATGGACAGAAGTGCCCTTCTTTAGCCCTAATGTGAACCCCATCAATTCTATGAAAAAAAGCTGAAGCATGCAGTCTGGAGAAGGCACCTTTTAAACCAGAGACAGCTGGCGCAGTTTGCTCAAGAAGAGTGGGCTAAACTACCTCTTAAAAGGTGCAAAATACATATTGAGAGCTAAAAAAAATTGCTTGGTGTGGGAATTGCCTTTAAAAGGTTGTGCAACAAAATATTAGGTTAAGAGTCGAGTCCCATCATTTTTGTTCATGCCATAAATGTTCTTTTTAATCAAAAGCAAAGTCTAATTCATTGATGGACACAGAGACATTTGGGTTATATTGCCACCTCCAGGAAGATTTGGACATTGGGAAAATGAAAACACAGTGGCCTGGTTTAACCTGACCAGCCTCCCACTCCCAGCATGCCTCAGTTTTGTCTGTCTGACAGGACCTGTCTCCCTCAAACTCCTATACATTTACTGCACTTTCTGAAAGAACAGTTGCCAGACAGCATTAGATGTTTAATAACCAACTTTACCCCACTATTTCTGATTCGTTAGGCAATTAGTAAAATCAAAGTTAAACTGACAGTCTGCCATTTTAAATAAGATCAGTGTGACCAACATAAATAAGTGGAAGAGAAAAACGCTCTTGTTACTGTCCTGAAATGGTGTTTAGTTTAGTTTCTGTATCCAAAGGAAAAAAGGTTTTGATTGGTATATGATAATGACACAGAAAGCTTACTCTGAATATAAACACATGAGGAAACCACATATACAAATCCAAATTTATTAACACAGGCTTGATTCAGAGCAGACCAGCCTGTGGCTCAAGCATGTAGGGCTATATGCTTACAGTAGGATCTCCAGGACTTCCTCCACACATTTCATGCAATGCTACTACATCTAAACGGCACTTCTAAAGACTGTTTCTAATCCCCAGAAAATAAACCGTACAAATAGAAAACATGTTCTTTAACCACATGACAAATAAAAGCTTATAATGCAGTCAATCCAGTTTAAAAGGTCACACACATACTATGGAATGGGATGTAACTATACATTTATTCCCCTGCCTAATTCATGAATAAAGTGACTCTGTCAGGTTAAAGAAAGCAGCTCAAAATGCCCTGCAAGAAAAAAGGTAGTATACACACCTTTCCGGCAGCTCCTGTCATCTAATTCCCCACTCTTCAAGTGCTGCAGCCGCTGCCAGCTTCTTAGGCGTTTGACAATTCCAGGAGCATCAGATGTCTATGTACCCTGCCACATACTGTGGTTCCAATTCTTTTTACACCTACTGTACGTCACTTCTGCCTCCTATAGTGACGTAGGAATTGGAGGAAACAACACAGAGCTCAGTAGGGGACACAAGCATCTGGCACTGCTGGAAGTGTTGAATGTTGAAAATCCTAAGGAAGCTGCAGTACTGTAACAGAAGGGATGTTAAAAAAACACAGGCTGCAGAAGAGGGGAGTATAAGTTGCTTCTACTGAGGGAATCTTTTGGCTGAATTTTTTAGAACCCAAAAAGGTCACTTTAAACACCACAGAGAGGTGCTGAGTGTGCTTTACGGCGAGTCTACTGATTTCAGACCTGACAAAGTTGTACTTGTAGAACAACATAGATTTTAGCCTTCTTTTTGTTGGTAGGAAGTAAAATATTTTCTAGAAAAGTTTCACCTCTGCTTCCACACAGGATCTGAACTACAAAAATTTGATTGAAAAAGAAAATAGTTAAACTTCATAACCTATATTCTAAAAATGGCATCTGGAGTTGGACCCTTTCTTCCCTCTGGCTTTTTTTAATCACCTTTTCAAGCCCTTGTTAGTGCATTCCCCTCATTCCATGTCAGAAAATAGTGCTTTACATTCTTTAACATCGTTGAGTCAGCACTGACTGGATTATGAGCTAGTGGAGCACCCTGTGTACTGAGTAGCATTGCACAATCCAACAAAGTAAAACATTTCTTCTCTTCACAATGCACTATTGTAACAAAGAAAGCAGTGAGGAAATTAAACATGTGAAGTTACATCCGCTCATCAAGAATTGGTTCTCAGCTCTAGTGGAACCAAACTAGACTTCTGAAGGTCAACCTACAACACATGCTCCGGTTCTTATTTCCTTCAAAGAATACATCATCAGTTGTTTGCTAAACCTATTGATTTCACAATTATTACCTAGTTCCAAATTTCACATTAATAGCAGGAATATTACATAGTTCATTGTGTAAAATCTGTATGTAATCCTAAAGGCCCATTCAGACTGGTCAATTCATTTGAATGGACTGCCAATGCACCATAATGGACCATAAACTGGATATGCACAATTTTTTCTAATGTAACGCACCAGAACCCACAGCAGTGTGTGACTGTGTTGGTTTGGGGCACTGGTGTGTGGTTAAAAATGAATGACACCCAAACAAGCTAACACACGTAATGTGTGTTGTGGTAATGTGCACTGCAATAATGCACTTAGGCCCATAATATGAACAAAAGGGAACCTAAGACATACAGTAAAAAAAAAAAAAAAAAATGTCAAATGTTCCATCATTGACAAAGGTAATATCACACTTTTGCCTATTAAAAGCACAGAGGACTACATGTCAATAAAAACTTCTGTGTGCCTTATACAACACTAGCCCTTGCGGACTATGCGGTACAATCCCGTAATAGACCTTTTGTACTGAGTTTTGGAATGTGTAAAATGCATTGGCCTTACATATTTCCTTCCAGTGGAGTTTTCTCAGTGTTCCTCTACAATTAGTATATGCATAGACCCCTGCTGATCACTAATTAAGCTCATATTCTGGCAGTGATCCAAAGTAGCACAAGTAGAGTGAGGAGAACATACCTTGAAAATGAATGACACAGAGGTCAGCCAACAGTGGACAAGCAGAATTAGGGCTCTTGATCCCACTTTACTCCAGTATTCTTACTTAATAGTGGAACTTTAGGCAGGCAGACAAATACAAAGTAAAAACACATACATGTGAACCATCTTGCCTGCCCAAAGTTTTGTAATTGTGTTAAACCTTGTCTTGTGATCTAGGCACCATAGTCCACAACCTCTGTGCAGACTATGCTCAATTTAAGCAATGCAGCCTGCTCCATGACCTATTCCAGTCTATGATTGGATAATAAAAGAACAACAGTCCGTTGATGAGGTCACCCATCAGCTCCCACTACTGTAAGTGTGTTCCCTATGTTGGACCAACAGCAAAGGTAAAACAGCTAATTCTCCCTATGCCATTCTGCTTTTTACTGTGAAGGAGATTGCAGGAGGATTTTTTCAAGTTTCTCATGTTAGTTTTATGTAAAACTACATTTGTTTTTTTGAATGAATATATACTGTAACTGGATTAAATAGTGTTCTTTATATCTGTGTGATATTCAGTTGTAAATTTGTCAGTTACACTATGTACATCAATGCAGTGTTGAAAAGGAAAAAAAGAAAAGCTCTTTATAATTCATCAGTATTCCACCCAGATTACAATACTGGTATTCATGATATACAAAGTGAGGAATAAAGATTCTTTTCTTCCCGGCACCATCCCTTTAAAGGACTGATCTACAGTATTAACAACAAATAAGTTCCATAATACGCAGAGCTACTAGTAACGCACACAGCTACTGTAAGTATGTTAATGTATCCACTAGATTTAACTTTTACAGTAGGTAACTTTCCTGTACTTCCTGTTTATTAAACTGTCAACGTACACAAGTGGAGGGAACAGATTGCCAGTTGGTAGTTGTTATTCATGGAAGCAATAGACAATAGCTTAGGGTGGGGTCACACAGCCCTTACTCAGAATGAAAATATTTTGAGCAGCATACCACTATTTTTAGGGTACTCTTGTTCAAGCATTAACATTGGAACATTACTTGTGTTCGTGGTCTGCACATGTCTGCATTAAGTGGTCACTATTCTTTCCTTTCAGCCCTGAGATCCTAGGTTCCACTGACAATATTTTATGAGTATCGCAATTTTATGTTTGTGTTCACACAGGTTTCTCCCACAATCCAAAAACATACTGGTAGGTTAGCTGGCCTTTACATACTGACCATAGCATGTAAACAAATGAGTGAATATGTTACAGAGGATAGAGATGAAGGGAAGGAGGTTAATTTTTCCAAGTCTTCTATAGCACTGCACAATACGTTGGTGCTCACTTGTGCTAATACATAAATAAACTATACATCCATTGTTAGACCACAATGCAAACCTGCAGCACAAATGCTTCAAATCAGGATTTAACATCAGTAATGTAAAGTATACAAATTCTATACAAATAAGAATGCAGCAACATCAGCACCCATATGAATAGCGTATGAGTTCCAGAAGGCAATTATGTTGCCAGATCTACAGTATGACAAATGTGGTAGGCACATTAGACAGTGAGCGGCTTCAGAATGGGGTCATGTGTATTAGATCTATGTACTCTGTGAAGCACTATGTTATAAATCACTGCTATATAAATAGTGGAAATAAATAATGTGTCAGTATTCAATGTTATGTCACGGCAATTAAAAGCAGTGCCCAGAAAATTGTAATGCTTAATACATCAGCAATAATATTTTTTTAAATACCTACTCGAAAGGCAAAACAACAGTAATGCTAACAGTTTATGACAAATGTCTAAAGCAATATTAATAGTAAAAATCAACTCTTGTGTAAGCAGGCAGTAATAGGCCCCATTAATAATACAACATTACCATCTTGACTTTAGTCATTCTGTGTTAATGCATTTTACTCTAATTATGTGCACAATCTAATCTCCAGTCTGAAATATGTTCATGACTATATGTGAAATATTTTGTTTTTCCATTACTAACATGGTAAAAGCAATGGTATATCTCACCTTGTATGCCATACAATCGATTTAATCGTGACCGCCGTGCTTCGTCACTGTACGGAATTGCCAACCAGGGCATCTCACTGAAATACTGCTTAAATGATTCTTCTGACCTAAGTGATAAAAACAAAATAACAATCTAGTTTATCGTCCGAACGCATACTTTTAGTAGCTATAAATCACACTGTGAGAGGATATAAGATGTCCGCATTGGCACAGTAAAAAACATATGAAAGGTTTAGCAAATGTAGCCAGAAATTCTAGATTCATTGGTTAGATGCTGGGTTTTATAAGGAAATGTTAGAAAAGTACATATCTGAAAGAATACTAAATGGATAGAAAAATGGAGTGATCTCTCTTCTTTGGCCAGCTTAAGTCCTCTATCAGCCCACCTTTCCTGTGCTTTGCAAAAGGTAGACACCATACTGCCATTCAAACCCCTTTGTGACCAAAATGTGCTGGTTGCATAATACTACTAAATAAATAAAGTGTGTTTTTTTTTAGTTTTGCTGTGTTTTGTCTATGGATTGCATAAAAATTAAAATCATTTGTACAAGACAATATAACCAAACAAAAGCCTTTTTTTGTCCTATAATAATACCATATTAACTACAAAGTTATTGCCGAAAAAGCAGGCCCATAGTCCCAAAGTAAAAAGTGCTCTGGTCCATCAGGGCTGCACCAGTGTGGGAGATGAACTGGTTAACATAAATTAAATGATGCCGGGTAATCATACTTAACTGAATCCATAAACTATTAATATACAGCACAGCGCCAACTGATCTGAGCATGAGATCTCTTCCATGCCAAATGAGTCATCACGGTGCATCCAGACTGTTGGAACAAAAATGTCTGAACTGCACTTATTAGTAAAATGCTGTTCAGTCTTTAATTTTGCATGTGTTAACAAGGAGATTGTTTCCATGGCTGACACCCATAATACCTTTACTGTAACACATTTAGTTATGACAAAAAAAAAAAAGTTGCCTAGCAGTTTTTTCGTTCCAGCACTATTCAGCTGTTGCCAGCTAATATCATCTCACCAAGATTAGGTTTACTGTCCCCAGATACATGAAATAAATTGTCAGGTGTTCAGTGTTACTCTGCGTGTCTCATTTTCTTGTAGGTTTATTGAGCACATAACTTTCAGTTATCCTGCAGACACAAGGACTACATGGGCATTCATCTACACCTTTGATTCTCCTGTTTATAGGTCCACCAAAACTGACGCAAGCAGTTTGTAAATTGCAAAAAAACTGATCGGAGAGATTCAGCGGCTTCCAGCCGCTGATCTCTCCTCCGATCACTGGACCCGGAAGTGATGTGTATTACATTCCGGTGTCACTCGTTGCAGTCTCCGACTGCAAGAGCCAGGAGAAGAAGCTGGGGAAGCAGATCTCTGCTTCCTCAGCGTCTTTGGGGTCCCGGGTTGAAATTAGGGGTCTGAAAAGTCTCCATAAAGAGGACTTGTCACACCCTATCTGCTATCACATAGGGTGCTTGTTAGCCCCCTATGTAATAGCAATAGCGTTCGTGTAAAAAAAAAATAAAAAAAATAAAGTGTTCAAAAATTAAAATAATATATAAGAAAATTTTTTTAAAAAATGCAAGAAAGTTTTTTTTAAAGTCCCCCGCCCCCCACGTGCACACACGTGTCGGTGCACCTATGTGCAAAAACGACATTGCGCTACACATGTTGCATATCGCCACGAACGTCGGAGTGAGAGCAATAATTATGTGCCCATCAATCACTGTAAGCACTAAAATGATGAGCGGTAAAAGCGTTTAAAATGTTCCCCATGGGAAACGTTTTTCGCGGCTTCACGGGCGAAGGCAATTTTAAGGTTTGACATGTTTGGTATCTATTTACTCAACGTGACACCATATTTTACCAAAAAATTGGGTATTGTATTCTGTTTCTGTGCACTAAATTTTAATTTAGTTTATTTTTTTCAAAAAATAGGTGTTTGATAAACATTTGCGCAAAAAACGTGCAAAATAAAAATTGCAACTAGCATTTTTTTTATTCTGCAGGGTCTTTGCTTTCAGAACATATCTTATTGTTTGGGGGCTTGAAGCTGTTTTCTAGCCAAAAAAATTATAAATTTATCATGTAGGTGCAAATAGTAAGAAAATGCTCCGGACAGCAAGTGGTTAAGTGCTTCTCGGCCCCATAGACTTCAATGGAAATGCTCAAAACCGCAAGACATGATTGTTTTTGCACGTTTGGCCATTTAAATCAATGTGTCAGAATCTGCTCACAAAAACGTGCAACTTAATGTACATATGTAAAAGCGCACAAAAAAACATGCAGCAAAAACACACGTAGAAACGAGTAAAAACACTGTCGCCTAGGTGTGAATGCAGGCTAAGGCCACTTAAGAGCTCCAAGTGGGGGATGTGTTTTGTGACATGAGGTAGCTGTGACTCTAAAGCACTTTTGTTGTTTTGAGTTTGAGAAAAAATTTTGAGGTTGTTACAAAAAGACTGTGTGATTCGAAACACCGTCCGTCAGCGTTGGCTAACCCAACAACAGAAAGGGTTTTCACCATCATACATTTATGGGGGAAATTCCTGTAACTCTGCATATTTGGGTACAATTCCATTACCGGTCCCCAGCAAATATTAAAGCAGTATGGATATACTTAAAAAGAAATGTTGCTCTCATAAAATAAAATATACACTAAAGTGCATCATTAAACCTTCACTTTAAAATGTAATCAGTAAAGAATTAACACAATACCACCAAATACTGAGCCAGAACATACAAGACTCATGATGTCATCTTCACAGTTTTGCAATGCCAAACAAGGGAGGCCTCATTGTGAAAAGCAACTCCCTTGAGATTTGTATGAATGTGAAAGTAAAGAATAAAACATTGTTAATGTGGAAAAATGACAAAAGCCACATGCCTATATTCTGATGCTTTTCACTACACATATGGTTTGCTATATTTCTGTTCAACACTTAAATATATAGTCAGATAGAATGATTGGAATATGCTCTGCAATGTAAACGTTATGTGTAAAATAGGTTTCGCTTCAGAGTGTTTGCAACACACTGTTGTCGAATAACTGCAGAAGTATTAAAATATTCTCTGATCATACAAAACTGCATTACAATATTTAGTTACAGTTGTACTTCATTTCAATGTGAAATGTCAGCCTGTGTAATGATTCAGTATTACCCTGAGAGTGTGATGTGTAGTGGTGTCAAAACTGACATTCTACAGCTAACCATTAGTGCAATGTCCACCAGCAATATCAGCTTTCACCAATAACATTTTGAACATGTTCTAGTCTATAAATTGTTTAGATAGACGGATGGCATCACAGGCCCTCTTATGTGACAGTGTTTTACCTTTACATATTCTGAAGCTCCTATACTAGATTTGGTGGCTATGTAATCTGAAATGTACACCTGTTTCAGCTGATGGGAAAGAGCCGCAGAAAACAGTAAACTCTCTGTTATCCGGTATTCAACTAACTGAAACCTCTCATCTAACCGGGGGTGGTGGGGGGGTGATCCTCTGTGCACACGAGCCGAAAGGTGCTGTATAATCCTGGGAATTAGGGTCTGAACGATGTTTGAAAAGTGCTCTATTATCCCAGGAATGAGTGTCTGACTAGCATGTGTGAAAAGTGCTATATTATCCTGGGAACGAGTGGCAGCTAGTGATCACTCCCAGTACTGCATTGCATTGCTCATTGATTACAATATACTGATGTCCAGTCCCAATGTCAGGCAGCCATAGTGCACACAGCATTACAGCGCCTGTATTGCAGCACTAGTACTGAGTATGTATGTCTAAATTTGTTTTTGATTACTTTATTTCAATAGTTATATGAAGTCTATACAGCGTTTATGTTATGATATGGTATAATATGGGGTATGGCATTAGTTAGACCTATTTTTAATAGAAACTCTCAAGCAACCAGAAACTAAATGTATCCAGAATCTACCAATCCCTGTGGATGCTGGATAACAAGCAGTTTACTGTACAGATGTTCCTCGCTTACCGACTTACCTGTTTTGCGACCACTCGCACTTACGACGGACCGCCGATCGGCCTCCGACCTTGTGCGTCAGCGTCAGTGCGCTGTGTCGCCGGCGGAAGTGGTGTCCTCCGATCTTCACTGCGGGTCCCGGTAAGTATTTCCATTGCCCGATGTACAGTACACTGGCAACGCTATACAGTACAGTATAGAGTTCCTCGCTTAACGACCAATCCGTTTAACGACCTGGTCGTAGGAACGGAACCCGGTCGTTAAGTGAGGAATACCTGTATATAGACTGTGTCAGGCATGTTAGGGCACATTCACACTGTTGCAGAGCGGTAACGTGCTTACGCACATTGGCGAGATGCAGTGCCATTCATTGCTAATGGCTCCCCAATGCACCACCACTGATATTCAGAATAACATGCTACCGTGCTTTGTGGTGCAGTGTCCTGCAAAAAAATGGTGGTTTGTGGCATTGCCAGCCCATTCAAATGATTGGCCTGCATTCATTCAGAACTCAACAGTGTTAATGGGTCCTTAAGGCCTGATAGCTGAATACACTTTCTAGCTCTAAAAAGTACTTGGTTATGCTTTTACACTGGCAGAAGAGATACAAAATCCATGCTTTAGAAGAATAAATGGAATAATACACAAGTATACAAGTTATCTTTCTGATATATAAAACTAAAGGCAAGTATATCCGTAATGTAACTATATTAATGATATAACCACCACAAACCACCTCTACTAGCCAAACAAAACCTGAAATGAGATTTCAGGGCTGCCATACTGATTTTATTTTTTTACAAATGCCATTTTCCTGATTGCCCCTGCCTTTAGTACTTTAAGTCACTGACCCAAAACAAGCATTCAATCAGTGAAATGAGAGTGATGACAGGACTCCTGATCTGCATACTTGTTCTGGGTTGATGATTCAGGAATAATTGAAGCCGCCATCAGTAATAAAGCCAGGCAAAAGTAATTCAAGGAGAGGTCAGCAGTAGCAGTCTACATATATCTTCCATAAAGCCCTATTCAAACACCCTGCGTTTTGTCATGCATAAAAACCGACAATAAAACACGCAAAACAAGAAATCCCATTCATTCCTATGGCCCCCATTCGCTCCTGTGCATTTTGTTTGCAAGCTGTAAAATCCCGGTCGCTGGAAAAAGTACATGAGCTTCTTTATGGCAGATTGCAGTGTGTTTTGTTCCCATAGACTCAATAGGAAAAGCTTGGAAACGCGTGGCAAAATTATTTTTTGAAACTTAACCACTTGCTGACCAGGGTGTTAAACCCCCTTCCTGCCCAGGTCATTTTTCAGTATTCAGCACTGCAGTACTTTGACTGATATTTATTCCGTCATACAACGCTGTACTGAAATTAATTTACCATTTTTCGGGGACACAGAGCTTTCTTTTGGTGGTATTTAATCACCACTGCGGGTTTTTATTTTTTACTATATAATGAAAACAAAACCGAAAATTTTGTAAAAAGAAAAAAAAAAAAACGAACAGTTTTTCCTACGTTGTGTTATAAAACATTATTACGCAATATTAAAGATGGGGGTCACATCGGGTAAATAGACACCAAACATGTCAAGCTTTAAAATTGCCATGCCTAAAATTGTCTATAGGCGACGCTTTAAAAGCTTTCACCGCTCATTAATTTAGTGTTATCAGTGATTGATGGCCCTAAAATTATTGTTCACACTCCGATGTTCATGGTGATATGTAATGTGTGGCGTAATCGTTGGGTTCGCTCACAAGCGCACCCGGGGCGTATTTACATTTATAAGTGCGTGCATATGGAGGGGCGGGGGACTTAAAACTTTTTTTTTATATATGAAACTTTAATTATTTTTTTTTACACTTAACTGCTATCACATAGGGGGCATTTTTGGACCAGACAAGAAACATTCTGGTCTGGATATGGTAAGAATGGGCTCTTAATGAATGGAAGCAAAATACATTTTCAAATTTCACAACACAGATACTGGGATTTTCTATAGCGAGCAAATATTGTCAGCCTGCCAGTCTTTTAATGTAAACACACAGCAGATGTTTCTAAGCTCTTAGAATCTGACTTTTGAGTGTTTGTTGTGATCATTGATGATCTTAGAGAATGAATAACTTCACATTAACCTCCCTGGCGGTATTCGAGAGTGTGGCTCGGGGTTAATTTTCAATACCAAGAGCGGTAACCCCGAGCCACACTCAGGATTGCGCAAAAGTGTCACTTACCTTGTCCCTGCGAGCCCGCGGTGTCCTCTGCTGTGTGCGCCCCGGCCGATGCCGGCATTCAGTTTTGTTTGTGGGCGTCACAGCGGGGGGCGGAGCCGGCGGGAAATTCAAAAGTTCAAACATGACATTTACACAGAATACACACAATACAATGTAATCTGCTATAATTACATATATTTATCAAACTATTTCACTTCAATTTTGTCCCCAGAGCTTTGTCTAGTGCCCTGCCTGCACTTTTACTGTACTCTATTGACTGTGAAATGGATCAGGCAGCGCCCCCTAGAATTCCCATTTACTGGACAATTTTTTATTATTATAATTATTTATTATATTATAATTTATGATTTGTGTTTCAAACTTTATCATACCCGGGATGTCTACTGGACTCTTGTTTGGACAGATTTAAGTGAGTTATTCCTAAGATTTACTAAGAATTGCAGGCCTACAATATAAAACAACAAATTTCCATGAAAAACAATGTACCGCTTTGGCATGCTAAAATCCTGCATAATCATACCACCAGTTATAGAGGACAGGATGGATTAGCTCATTTATTGCTTGCTAAGGAAATGCAAATACTTTATTGTCCATAGTTTGGGCACAGGTACACTAGGTACAGTTCTTGGCTTATACCCTAAAGAGCCACACTTACCTGTCGGCACTAACAAGGACTATTTCAAACTTCTGACCCAACTCTTTGATTTTTCGATAAGATTCCACTAACACTCTTGTCAGACTTCGACAAGGAGGACACTGTAATTTAGAGAGGGTACACTTAGAAAGTTCTCATACTTCATAATAAACTTGCAGTGAGGATGCTATAAAAGCTAAAAATATTCAAAGCAATGTGTACACATCCAAGACTTAAAAAAGTATTGTCAGAAGTTTTGAATGCTCGTTAAATCCCACAGGGGGCCCAATGCACATTGCACTTGTCCCTGTTCAGATCTGTGCAGTGGTTGCTGAGCAGCATTGCCAAATAGTTCCTAATTTACATGGAGGGCTACAATATTACATGGGGGGCTGAAAAATATAGAAAGGAGCTTCAGTGTTGGCTGTAATGCCCCCATATGGAGTGCCCATAAATTGAGCTTAACACTGCACTGACAGAAATTAGATGTTGTTTTATTTTCTAACCACTACACAGATTTGAATGGGGACAAGTGCTATTTGCACTGGGCCCCCTGGGGAGAATTTAACAAATATTTTAAACTTCTGACAGTTATTCTTTTTTAAGAAGCAGCAAGGGAAGACTATGACATTTATGAAACACTTTAGGTCAGTGAGGTAGGCCTTGTGTGGCGCATTTGCCAGTTTTGGATGCAACTTAAACATTACATACATGCCAGCACAGAGAATGTATATATGGTGATCACACAGCATTACCATTTGAGGTTTTTCTCCATTATGAACATTATTTTAGATAGCATACATTAAGTTACTGTTGCTTACTCTCAAACTGTACTTCTCAGTACAATTTAACGATAGATAGATAGATAGATCGATCGATCGATCGATCGATCGATCGATCGATAGATAGATAGATAGATAGATAGATCCTAATGTTTAACTGCAAGTTAGACAAAACCATATTCTGTTCTGGCTACATTAAACAGGCCTTTTTTTGTACAAACCAGGCAGGAAAGACCCACATTTTATGTATGTCTTTTTGGAATGCCATATATTATTTAATTACCTATTGATTGTGGTGTTAAAGAAGTCAAACATAATTAATGAGCTTCATATCTGACAGCTCTTTCACCATCTTAAAAGCATCCATTATTAGGTGTTTAAAACAATTCTTCATGCATTTTCACTGGAAATGTATTCAATGGCAAGCAGCACATTACAATGGACATGCGGATACATAACCATTGGGTGGCATAAAATGCTAAGCATAAAATACAGTGGCTTCACCCCCTGGACATTTTTCCTATTTCGTTGCATTACCACCTGGAGTTAAAAGGGATTTTTGGGGGGTTTGAATCATTTTATTTACACAGCATGCCTACCATTTTGAAGATGCAAAATCATTTTGAATGTGATACAAACAAGAAATAAGATCAAACAGAAAACTTGGGCCTGCATAACTATTCTCTCCCCCAAGTCAATACTTTATAGATCCACCTTTTGCAGCAATTACAGCTGCAAGTCTCTTTGGTTATGTTTCTCTAAGCTTGGCACATATAGCCACTGAGATTCCACAGATTCTTAACTGGATTGGATTGAGGTCTGGGCTTTGACTAGGCCATTCCAAGACATTTAAATGTTTCCCCTTAAACCACTCAAGTGTTGCTTTAGCAGTATACTTAGGGTCATTGTTCTGCTGGAAGATGAACCTCAAGAATCTCTCTGTATTTAGAGCCATCCATCATTCCTTTAATTCTGACCAGTTTGCCAGTACCTGCTGATGAAAAACATCCCCACAGCATGATGCTATCACCACCATGCTTCACTGTGGGGATTGTGTTCTCGGGGTGATGAGACGACTTGGGTTTGCACTAAAGATCACATTTTTCTTGAAGGCCAAAAAGCTAAATGTTAGTCTCATCTGACCAGGACACCTATTATTTTCATATGTTTGAGTATTCTCCCACATGCCTTTTGGTGAACAGCAAGCCGGGAAGCTGGCTTCATCCTGATTGGCTGGGAAATTGGCTTCCAGGCCAATCAGCAAGGATCCGGCTTCCCAGCCAATCAGGAAGCCGGGGCAGAAAGTCATTAACCGCCGCCCGGCTTCTCGAGAAATCTCCCTCTGACCGGAAGTTCCGGTATCAGGGATTTATCGGAGCATTTGAGCAAGTACTCGTAGTGTTGCAGACTCTGGGGCCTTTCAGAACAGGTGTATATATACTGAGATCATGTGACACTTAGATTGCACACAGGTGGTCTTTATTTATTATTTGACTTCTTAGGCCTCATTCACACGAGAAACGGCTGGCACGTACAGCTCCGTGCTGAGTGCACGGCCGTATCAGGCAGCTCCCAGGAAGGACAGGTGCTGCGTGTGATTAGTAGGCAGCCTGTCTTTCTCTATCGGACTACGCAGCCGTATGCCGCCCTACGCTGACCCCAAGTGCAGGTCCATACGGGTGCGGGTGTTCCGGCCCGGGCGCAGACAGGATCCATCCTGACACACGCATGGGCGTGCAGGGCGGGTGAGCGTAGGGCGGCGTACAGCCGCATACTCCCATAGAAAAAGACGGTCTGCGTACTAAATCACACGGAGCACCTGTCCTTCCCGGGAGCTGCCCGATGCGGCCGTGCACGCAGCACGGAGCTGTACGTCCTGGCCGTTTCTCGCGTGAATGAGGCCTTATGGTAATTGGTTTCACCAGATCTCATGTAGGGGCTTCACAGTAAGTGAATATAAATGCACGCACCACTTTTTAATTTTTTACAAATATTTTAAAACAAGTTATTTTCTTAATTTCACTGCACCATTTTGTGCTATTTTGTGTATGTCCATTACATGTAATCCAAATAAAAATCCATTTTAATTCCAGGTGGTAATGCAACAAAATAGGAAAAATACCAAAATACTTGTGACCTATTCCCCTTCAGCACTAGCATAGGGCAACGCTAACTATAGTTGCTGGTTAGTCAGTGGGTACCTTTTTGTTAGTATTGAGTATGTAGTAGTAGACAGTTGCAGGACTAAGACTTTACAGAAGTTCACAGACTCATCTGCAAAATGTTGCTTGTTTTTAACTTGCTACTTTCCATAAAGGAAAACACGAATAATGAATCATCCAATAAGCAGTTATCACTTTATTTGTACTCAAATTTGCAAAAGATACAACATGGAAAATAGTGGTCAATACGCCAATAAGTATTTGTTCCATATCTTCACAGGCACTCACCCAATGTGCAGAGAAATAAACACCAACATAAGACCCTTCCAGCATACTACTGTCTTGAGCCTGGCCACTCTTCCTGAGCAAAGGTCCAGCAACTACTTCACTGAAAGGCTTTGGCCCCCAAGGGAATTCCAGACCTGGGAAGATTGATAATCAATAGTAAAATTCATTGTATTTTTTACTTCTTTCTTGTCATGTATACATTTCCTGTAAGCCACAGAGGTTTTAAAGTTTTAAGACCAAATAAAGAGGGCACCATCTACCAATCCTTAGCAGCAATCCAAGTAAAACTACATGGAGATCTTCTGAGGGGGGAGGAGGGGGGCACTGCATATAGGTGCATGTCATATGCATGTGTAAATGTCTATGCTGAAAATATAGCTCACACATCAAAATGATTTGCCAAAATACATTTTCTTTTAAAATTTCCAAAATATTGTGTTTTGTAACAGTACTGTACTACAGTATTTGCAAATATAAATTATTTAGAAGTCCAATACATTTTTTTTTAAAGATAAGCTGCAGTTAAGCCTATACACCTAAACTGTACAGTATATAAAACCTAACAATTGACTTCTCCGATTTGTTCCTTTTTTTGGTGTGTTAAATATACTATTGGAAGCATTTTGTACTTGTTTTACAAGTGCAAAAAAATACCTATTGATCTGGCAAGAAATTCAGAGTTGTCCAGAGTTCTCACTCTGTGTTATCTCAAAGAAGCCTTTTTAGCCCTTCCTGTTCTCATCTTGGACTACAAATCAATTAGTCCATATGCTGTAGATAAGAACACAGTGGTGGGTAGTTTAGCAAAATGACAATAGGCAGGGCTGACACCACGCAGTGCACAAAAATGCTGTAGGTTGTCAGCCCTCAATAGGGAATTAAAATCAGAGTGCATTTCTTGCAGGTATTTTTTTTTCTATACTAGGAATATAAACAATTGTGCATGTATTGCAGAGATGTACTGGGTGTGTGTTTTTATATTGATTTTGCCTTAGCATGCATTTAAATTCTTACATTATCTTCAATGCACAATGTTTAACATAAAAAAAAAAATTCCTCAGCAGTTGTAGGGTGAATGTGGTAAGTTTAGGCTTATTTAAACGGCACCTGTAAAGACAAACAGTATATATGAAGAGCTACTATGGAGTTTTAATACAGGCTCCAGAGCCGTCATCTCAATCCTGACATCCTTACCACTGAACTGGAACAAGCGCAAGTTGAAAAACCACACTTTCAGACTTCTCCATCTGGAAGTTTATTCCAGATCAGTGACTCACAAGATTGTAAGGCATGCATTAGCATGAAAGGCCAAATCCTGAAGCTTCAAAAACTAAAAAAAAAGTCGGATATGGCAGTTTCCATATTTTATCCCCTCAAGACAGTAAAAGAAAAATGGTTATTCTGGATAACCAGTGTACATCGTACAGTCTTCTGCTATATGCTCTATCCCTCTACCCACAGTTCTCTGCTAAATAATTTCTCCATTCAGCTGTCTTCAGCTATATATCCCCTCCACCCTCCTCAACTACAGTTATGTGAAAATGTAAAAACCCTATTCAAATTGTTGAATTCAACGTATATTAATGGCAAACATTAAATCTAGTGCCTACAAGCAAAGGTGATATACTCAAACATAAAATTTACATGGTGCATCTCAATCTAAAATTAACAAAAATGCTAAATTGTCACATGGTAAAAAAAAAGTAAGTACACCCCTACATTTACCATTGTAATGTCATCATGCCAAGATCAAAAGAACTCTTTAAGGCCCTCAGAAAGAAGGTGTAGATGACTATGAGTCTGGCAAGGAATTTATTATATGGCCAAATTATTTTGAATAATTTTTGGATCAATAATTCCACTGTAAGGAAAATAATCTATAAGTGGCATAGATTTCAAACAACCACTAATTTGCCCAGGAATGGCCGTCCCAGCGTCTGATGTTCAAAGAAGTTTCCAAGAATCACAAATTTCATAATGAGATATGTAGGTAACTCTTGCAACAGTGAAATGTCTAGTCACAAAAGGGTGAAGAGTTTGGAGAAGGCAGGAGAAGTGAACAATCTAGGACAGTGGTGGCGAACCTTGGCACTCCAGCTGTGCCAAAACTACAAATCCCAACATGCATCTGCCTCTGTATGTGGCTGTCAGAGCCTTGCAATGCCTCATGGGACTTGTAGTTGCAAAACAGCTGGCGTGCCAAGGTTCGCCACCACTGATCTAGGACAACATAGCTGAACTGGAAACATTCTCCAAAACAGCTCACTTTCCAGTTGAGCTATGTTGTCCTAGATTGTTCACTTCTCCTGCCTTCTCCAAACTCTTCACCCTTTTGTGAATAACCCTGTTAGTGTCACATTGAATGCATCTACAATCAGAAAGAGACTGCACAAACTCACAGAGTTAACACTATAGATCTTATACCCTCTATTGTACGATTAGGGAAAAAAATTAAAACATTTTTTATATAAATAATTCTTTTTTTTTCTTGTCTCCTGAGCAAAATAACAACTATATAAATTTTAGACAGAAACCAGATTGTTTTTTTCCAGGGCCAACACATGCTTCAGTTTCTGTAAATCAGATACTTTATGAGGATGTAAATATTTAATATACATTTTTTTCACGGTTCAAAGTATTTCAAGTTATTGTCACAAATCTGGGAGCAAAGATGTCAACACTTCAAGCATTAATCATTTTCCAAGTACACCAGTTATCATGGGTCAATGAATGTGTTTACTGACCTTCTGGGTCATCTCTTATTAACAAGAGGCCATTCCTGCACACAGTCTTCCCTGTGGACGCTTCAATAAAGATCAGTGAGGGAATGTTGGAAATTCTGAACTTGTTCCACAGTTTCAGCTGGAAAAGGAAATAATAAAAAGCTCTAAAAATATAAACAGGATTTTAAAGTTCACACATTAGTTATAGTTATAAATAACACATAAAAAGGTAAGTTTTAAAACAGTTTTTACTAAGATGAACGATCTGTAACTGAATTCTATGTTTTGTACATGTGGTCAAGCTTTTAATAATATTAATTACTTAAGGCCACCTATGTGTGGTTCAATTTTCAATAATTATGTAAATAACGTGAGCACAAATGGAGATAACTGGAACTGAAGATAATACTATGAGTAGCTTGCAAATGGAGAACATTTGCTTCCAATTAAGAAGTAAGCTCTTTCTTAACCTAATAGGGAAGAAACCCTAATTAAAAGATCTTGCTTGAAGCAGGTCATGCATCCTTACATCTAAGGGTACATTTCAGGTGCCCATAAACAATATCATACTTGAAAGCAATGTGACTCATTCACGCATTACTTATGACAAGAGAGTTGTATGGGAACAACTCTGAAGAGATAATAAGCTATTGCAAAGATCAAAAATGCTTGTAGCTACAAACATTGGCAAACGTCCCTTTAATTCCCTTTTATAAGTGGGGGCTCTGCCCACAGTGGCAAATCAGATTCTTCTTAGGGTTCATACAATCATGAAAAAATCAAATGCTAACTGGCAGTGTGTTTAGAAAATGCATTTGATAGAATGATTCAATACGAACAAATGTTACAGCTTCAACATCAAATCAATTGAGCATGGACCTTTCCCCTTCTTCTGAGCCTCTTTATTTGTACTATAAAGAGGATAGGCAGCTCCACTAACCAATAGGAGAAGAGGCTGGTTCTTTCATTTTTACTCACCAAGTGATGATATAAATATTAATTATGATTCCTGTATTTCTGGGTGTATTGCTGCTTTCACAAGTGCATTCTTTCATCGTATGCCCAGTTTGAATTTACCAGATTTGTGAATCTCATTTCCCACCCTTGGCTTATATTCGGGTCAATACTTTTTCTCAGTTTTTTTTGATAAAATTAGGTACCTCGGCTTATATTCGGGACGGCTTATACTCGAGTATATACGGTACATAAATGTGTTCACACCCACAAAATGATAAACTGAAATCTAAAATGAATGTACAGTATGTTATTTTCATGCAGATCTAGATCATTTTAAATAGTAGCATGGATATCTAAATTTCTTCTAGTGCAGATGTTAATGTCATGCAAACTAATGCCAAGGGTAATGAGCTAAGTATATCCCAGGTGGCAAGGAACAGCTGCTGGCTAGTCAGGGGTGACCTCTACAATGTGTTGATTACTATTTGGCATGCTTATTAAATCAAAGTTCACAAAAGGTTGCTGCATTTTTAGTAGAAATCTTGGGAAAATAAAATGATTACAGTTGCAAACGCCAAAGTCATGCTTCTACAAGTACAAGCTATATTCAGCAATTACTGTACACATTGTCTAAGCTGCTGTTTCTAGTCTGTCTGGACCCATGCTGACAATAATAATAATATGGAAATGTAGAGGGAGTTGAAAAAGAATAGCTGTAATCTATGTTCAATCCACAAAAGAGGATCCACACCCAATACATGTAAGGGGAATCTGTCAAGACAACTGTTACTTGTCAAAGCCGAGACTTCAGACTGATATTTCAGTGTTGGGTAGGTGACAACAGGCTAAATGGTCCAGCACATTCTTGTACTCTCACAGGAAGTCAGATTTTGAGTTTTCTACATAACTATATTTCCAAGCCCCTCACCTTGATCTCACTCTCCACTTTAGTCCTTTTTCTTTTGTTTCCCTTTTACATTGCTGACCATAGGAAAACTAGAACTCCTTCACCCGAGTTCTCAGAATCAGACACTGTGGAGAACTCATCATTTAAATATAAAAGTGACAAAAATCTAGTGGGGGTTTGACCATCAGATTTGGGAGACAGACTTACCAATTTGAAAGTAAAAGCTCAGTTTTATTGAGAACTATATACATTGTAAGGCTTTTATTTTTCCCCTTTTGTCTTCTTTAAAAGGCATTTTAGATGGAGGAGCTATCCTTACTCATTTTCTCTTTCTTTTATTACCAACTCTATTATTTTTTTCCTTTTATCTTCTATTCTGCTCACCCTCTAAACTAAATTATTCCCTAAACACCCATGCCCAACATGTTTCACCCATACAGGGCTTCATCAGGGGTCTTGTGCAATATAGTGTCAAAACACTTTATAAAAGAAAAAGGAAACGAATGGTAGAGTTGCTGATAAGAGAAAATGAATAAGGATAGCTCCTCCTTCTAAAATGGAAAGCATTATTGATGACCTGTGGGGGCTTTTAAAGTGTCTTTTATTGACTTTTTGGGGTACTGCAGTTTTTCGCCGTTTCACGGTCGCACGCAATCTGTAAACTGGGCATGTTGGGTATCGTTTTACTCGTTGTAACCTCATCTTTTATATTTCATTAAAAAAATGGGTAATTTGTTGTGTTTTGGGGCATTTAATTAAATTTGTCACTAAATTTTGGGGTTTAATAAGGAGTTGCGCTAATATTGCGCAACATAAAAATTTTCAACTACCACCATTTTATTCTATAGGGTCTTGGCATTCAGAAAATATATAATGTTGGGGGGTTTTACGTCATTTTCAGGCCTAAAATGTGGAATATAACATGGGTGCAAAAATTGAAAAAAGGGCCTCAGTCATGAAGGGGTTAAAATGAATCACAACGTTTATAGATTTTATGCAACTCTAAGGGTATTGTTAGGATATTAGCAGAATTTTTTGAACACTCACTTCTTTCGCTGTTCTAAATAAACTGATGCAAGCCTTACCATGTCCTACACTGACTGCTAAGACAATCTGCCACCAACAGTGGTGCGCTATAAAATAGAGAAGCATCTGTGTCCCTTTAGACATACAAAGGTCTCACAGTATCTCAACCAACATTGACGGCGGGATGCCTGTAATTTGTTTAAAGGCTCTGTGCAGACTTCTGGGAAATGCAGCAAGCCATTTTCACAAGCAGGAAATAAGATTGATGTAGGTGTTCTGTACACAGACTCTGTACAGAACACCTCCATGTTAACATATTGCAAGGAAACATCATTTTAATTTTGTGCCTGTTTTGGAAAATCAAAGTGGCTGTGGACTGAAATGGAAAGGTAATCTTTTAAAATACAAAAATTGCAGGTAGCACAGTTTTTATATATTATTTATGCTTTAAACTTGTGGTTGGGAATTTAACCACTTGCTGTCCGGAGCATTTTCTTACTATTTGCGCACACATGATAAAATCTAAATCTTTGGCTAGAAAACAGCTTCAAACCCCCCAATTATATATTTTCTGAAAGCAGAGGCCCTGTAGAATTAAAAAATGCTAGTTGCAATTTTTTATGTCGCACGGGTTTTGCGCAAATGTTTACCAAACCAGTATTTTTAGCAAAAAATAAACTAAATTATAATTTATTGCACAGAAACATAATATAATACCCATTTTTTTGGTAAAATATGAAAGATGGGGTCAAGCCGGGTAAATTGATACCAAACAAGTCAAGCTTTAAACTTACGTTCGCCTGTGAAGCCACAAAAATACTGAAAACTTCCCATAGGGAACACTTTAAACGCTTTTACCGCTCATCAGTTTAGTGTCATCAGTAATTGGTGGCCCTAGAATTATTGCTTTCACTCCGACGTTCACGGCGATATGTTACATGTGTAGCGCAGTTGTCGTTTTCACACGTAGGCGCACCGACGCGTGTTTGTGTGTATATGTGCACATCCGTGGGGGGCGGGGGACTTTTTAAAAAAATGTTAGATTTTTTTTTTTTTCCGGGCAATCAGGAAGCCAGGCAGCGGGCAATGACATGCCGCACAGCTTCCTGATTTCCTGGGAAGCGAGGCCCAATGCTGATTGGCCGGGAAACTGGCTTCCCAGCCAATCAGCATGGAGCCGGCTTCCAGGGCAATCAGGAAGCCAGGTGGTGAGTAATGACCCGCCTTCCTGATTGGCTTGCAAGCCGACTCCATGCTGATTGACTGGAAAGCCGGGTTCTCGGCCAACCAGCATGGAGCCGGCTTCCCGGCCAATTAAGAAGGCGGGAGGCTGGTAATTACTCGCCACCCGGCTTCCTGATTGCCTGGGAGCCAGGGAAGCTACGTCACTGCTGGTCAGAGGAAATCTTCCTCTGACAGGAAGTTCCGGTATCGGGAAAGGTATTGGAGCATTTCGGCAAGTACGAGTACTCGCCCAAATACTCGGTATCGGCACCGATAACGATACTAGTATCGGTGCATCCCTAATAGATAGTCTTCTTCACTGCACTTCGCAAAATAATAAATAGAGCCCTATAAATTGTATAAAAAAAGAAAATCTATCTTTTGGTGGCCTAAAACTGAAATGCTGAAACACTGAGGGGAATTTATCAAAACTGAAGCAGACAAAATCTTAAACAGTTTCTCAGGGCAACCAATCCGCATCTATCTCTTCAGTTTGTTCAGTTAAGCTATGAAAATGAAAGAGAGAAGCTAATTGGTTGCCGTGTACAGCTGCTCCAGATTTTGTCTGCTCCAGTTTTCATAAAAATCGCCTTTTTGTGCATGACAGTAACTGAAACTGTTTCTCCAGGTATTGGCCAAGATGTTGACTAACATAATATTGGCCTTCTAAAAATGTTTTTACATCGGCAATCTTACTTATGTGGCAAGGTCATCGTACTTCTCAATTTCACACTGAAATACTTTACAGATAATCACTTCAGTGTGACTTTTTAAAAAGGTGCTTCTCATTTGAAAAAGGAAAAAAACAACTTACCCTACTTAACCCTAAAAGAAAACCAACAAGCTGGAAAAAACATATCATCATCATGCCATGACAATTCAGAATCATGGAAAAGGTCTACTCATGTTGCGCCCAGGAAACACATCTTTCCAGTGAGCATATATGCTACGATTGCTGATGGGATCTCTGCAACATCCAATCACTCATATACATGGTTTTAAAGCAGTTAGCTGTAGCTTGGCATTTCTTGCACCGGTATGTTCTAGCAAGTAAGTGAAAATCTCCTCTTAGACAGCAGTCAATGGAACAGGTACCGTATTGGAAAATTTACCCACAACTCCAAAATTTTGGCCACCACTAGAGGCTCACTACCATGATGGACTCAATCTCACTTTTAGTTTATTAATGTGTATTGAAGTTATAGTCTATCACAGGAGTGAGCTTGGGGCGGTGGCTACTTTACAACACAGTTTACAAAGACTGCTTAAAAGCAGAGCTTTACACTCAAAAATCAAATTCTACCAAATTCTATGTATGATGATTAATAATAACATAGACATGTCAGGTGTAAAATGCTGTGATTTTGAAATACTTACACTTACAGAGCATTCACTTCTTGCTTTGAAAGTGCAAAATGACTGTTTGCCAACACAATGCACACACACACATTGCTGGGAAATCTCATCTGTAATTTAATGAGATCTCAGGGAAAGGCATTTCCTCCCCTGAGATGATGTGCATGGTCACATGTCCAATCTCATGTCTAGTCACATGTGCCAGAAATCCAGGAAGTAATAGGAGAGCTAGTAATCTGCCCTTAGTCAACATGGCCACTGTCAGAAGACTGGGGAAGGAAAGAGAATTACGGTATGCACGGAATCCAAAGCCTGCTATTATCTATATGTATGTGTTTGTAGATTGTCATTACTAAACATTTCTAAAGGTGTGTTTGCTGTTATTTTAAAGATATGGGTAAAGGTCCACTTTAAGTTTAACAACCTGTATACATAGTATTTGAGGTTGAATAAAGACACATGTCCATCAAGTCCAACCTAGTGTGTGTGTGTGTGTGTGTGTGGGTCCCTGTGTCATCTCGTTATTAGGAGTACCTGTACCCCTGTATATTACCGTTTCTCAGGAAATCGTCCAAAAGCTTCTTGAACGATTCCACACTATTAGCTAAAATTACTGCTTGTGTCAACGAGTTCCAGACCCTAACCGCTCGTACTGAGAAGAATCTGGACTTTCTCCAGTTCAAGGACATCCCCTCTGTGTACTGGTGCCCAAAACTGCACCGCATACTCCAGGTGAGGCCGAACCAGTGATGTATAAAGTGGCAAAATTATAGACTTATCCCTGCAAAACATTCCCTTCTTGATGCAGGACAGGACTCTCTCAATCTATTATTGAGTTTGTCTACAGTGACCCCCAAATCTTTCTCCATTTCAGACTT